GGTAAGCGAATCGATAAATGAACAAATCAATTAATTAATTAATTAATTAACGAATAAATAAATTAATTAGTGAACATTAATAAAATTAATGAGTAAATAAATGAATAAATAAATGAATAATTTCAACAGGCGACAATTTTGCTTTCAATCTTTCCATGAAATGGGAAAATAAAACGAAAAAATTGGCTACAAAATGACTTTTTTAATAATGAAATTAAAATTTACTGTATGAAAAACCAAAGATTACAAGCTGTTATCATTTCGATACAGCAATTCAACTTTTTACCTTCGGAAACTATCATTCCATTTAACATTTGATATCGTCGTAAAGATATTTCATTTTTATTTTTATGTTCCATACCGGAAAAGTCTTTTCAAGTTTTATCATTTCCATCATACAGCTACAGTACTTCGTATTGTGTCGATAATTTTATGTTAGTAAAAAGTATATGTTTATATCAAAATGATATAACCATTCAATTAATTGCAAAAATATCTTTAACCTTCAATAGCATAAAAGAAGCAAGTTTATGCTTTGATATAAATGAAAATAGTCAATTGATGAATATGAATGAAATAAAATTGATTAAAATGATTTTAATCAGATAAGAAGGGATGATTATCCGAATGGTTACGGTATTTTATAAATAGTTTGCTGATATTTTTAGCAGGAGTAAGTTATTAGTTTGTGATTTGATTTAAATGAAAATAATTAGTCTATGGAGATTTTTATCTATATTGTTTGTGATTTCTTCATTGCTTTATTACAATTTTTTATTGATTAATCTTTGTCTGGCTTAGTTGACATTTTCTTATTCTTTTCTTTTAATTAACCAATTATCAGCGCTCTTTTTCTTTTTTTCTCATATCGTTTATCGGAATAAACTTAACCCAGAATAATATACAGTAGTGTGAATTTGATTACAAAATAGTATGAATACCTTATCGTCTTTTCTTTTCTTTTTTCCATTTTTAAACTTTACTAAATATCTTTTCCATTAATAATTAATAATTCCTTATCATATATCTGATTTACAAATTTAATCGCCTGATAATTTATTTCTAATAAAGTTCGAACTTTTTTTCCTTATTTTTATAGACATAATAAGTTTTTTTTTCTGAAAGAATTTTAAACCATTGTTTATTTAAACTTAAATTGATAGCAGGTGTTGATACAAATATATTTATAAGTGCGTTGTTTTTTTTTTTTTCATTTTCCTCTCCTATATTTTTGGATCTTTTTACAAAGTTGAACTTTCTCTTTTCATTTCACTATGTTGAAAATGAAAATTATTTTGTAGAAATAATGATAATTTATTTATTTATTTTTCTTTTAAATAAAGAAATTTCATGTTAATTTCACAAACTTTTTTCATTTAATTGCGAAAACTGAAATTATTCATATTTTAAAAATATTTTTGCCTCAATTCTTAAAAATTGCTTTTAAAAAAAAGCTCTTTTTTTGCAAAAAAAAAAAAAGAACAAAAGCTAATTTTCATTCCGATTTTAGATTAGTATTATCATGCTAATATGTTATCAGTCGGTGTTATTAATTAATTGAAATTTTTATTTGATTGCCCTTTTTTGTTTTTCTCCAATTTTAATTCGGATTTAACAGTTAAACCTAGTAATTACTAATTAAAACTGTTTTATTTTGTTAGTCATTGCATTTAACAAACTATAAATACATTCATCTTTTTTCATACTTCTTTTTTCTTTTTTTTTATTATTTAAATATTATTTTTGAACAAAATATTTGGCATAAAAAATGAATCATTCATTTGTAAAATTTCGGATACTAAAGTAAGAAAAGTAAAGTTAAGAGGTGTGAAGCTAAAAAATTGATGATTCAACAATATTTGTCATCATCCTGTCATGATGTAATAATCATGCATGTTCTATTTAAACGATGCAAAATTAGCATTACTCATAAATATAGTAATATCAATCATTTAGCATTTAGTATCGATGAATTGCTGATTTAAATGACAATTTATGATGATACTGATAAGCTATCATAATGCTTGCTTGTTATCTGTATATAAGAATGGAATAACTGAAGCATTTCTAATATACACCTTAAAATTATTCCATATTTTGATATAATGGGTTTCGAAAAAACGGTTT